CCCCCCCCATGTGTCAATTTTAGTTATGTAAAGCTTAAACATTTCTACTATAAAACGTCTGGTGTTTCTTTCTCGGTTACATATTTTTTTTTTTGACCATTTATTTTTTTTTGTAAAGGAATTGCCATGATTGGAATTAGCTCTAGTAGTCATTCACTCCCCCCATAAAATATACACCCCCTACGCCCGTATGCCCATATGCTCGTATGCCCGTATTCCCGTATGCCCGTATTCCCGTATACTACTATGCTCCTATGCTACTATGCTGCTATGCCCCCCTCTTCAATTTTGGGGGATTTACGTTTGAGCAGCAAAAAAAAGAGCGAAAATTAAATTGTACAAAAATGTCCTATGTATTTGAAGGGTATTTTGCCTACTTTCTCTGACTAACTCTATCAGTACTAATAATATACTCTTAATCTACTAATAACTAATACTGTTTATTACTAGTGAGCTTGATTTAAAAGATTCTACACTGGTTAGACCCTACATATTTGTAAGTACAACTCATCTCTAGTTCGTATCTCTCTATGTTTTAAATTTTTCATGTTATTTACATCTCAAAGATTGAAATGACCAGTATAAAGGAACAATTGAGTAACAGCGAGAAGATGGGAAAAAAAAAGACAGAAAAAAAAAACACCTATTACTGAAACTAAAGGGTTTAAGTTTACAGAGTATATACTGCTGGATTTACTAGCCTTTTCCTAGAGAAGACGTTTTTTGAGATATTGTTTCCAAAACACTTTTTTAGATACTGTTTCCAAAACACCTTTTTTACACACGGGTTTTTGGTCTTCATAAATGGTCTCGTCCTCAGATACACATTCAAAAAACTCAAATGGTGAGCAAAATCACCCGGGCAAAGTTGATAGCGATAACACACAATTGTTGTTGCTGCTGTTGCTGCCGCTGCTGCTACTGCTACTGCTGCTGCTGCTGCCGCCGCCGCCGCCGCCACTGCTACTGCCACTGCTATTGCCAGAGCAACTAGGCTCTTACGAAAACACGTATCAACAACAGCATGACATCTCAAATAACCCCAACAATCAACACCATGAATCTATCAGAAACTTGATTGCTTCGAACTTCAAACAGCGTTCCTTCAATTCTGATTCCAATTTTGGTTCTGTTTCCAATTCAGGCTCAGATTCCGGTTCAGGTTCCATTTCTCCAAATTTTTCAGCTTTAATACGGCGACATCAACAACTACTACTACAACAACAACAGCAACAGCAACAGCATACCCCACAAACACATTCACAGCTAAACCCCGCTTCATCTTCTACCACCACCACCACCTCTCATGCAAACTTATCACCGCCACCACTACCAATGAATCGTAAAAAATCAAATTCGATAAGTAATGCAGTGTTGCAGCGTTCGAGAGCTTTGAAAAAAGTATCATTTTCAAATCTCCACTCAAACGACTCGTCTCAGGTGCTTGATTCGAGATCATCCTCCTCGTCAAGTATGTCGTTTGATAATTCAGAAAACGATGCTTATAGTGACGATGACAACCATGGTGAAGGGAGAGAAGAAGACACTCAAACTGAAGGAGAGACTGAAGTAAGCAATCACGAAGGTGCAAACAATGTTGCATTGAGCGGTCCTCATCTGCAAGGACCAATAGACTCTTCATCGCTGCTTTCAAATTCAAATTCAAATTCAAATTCAAATACAAATACAAGAAGCAAACACCATTCTCATCGCAAGGGAAATCATTATCTTCATTATCAAAGAGGATTACAAAATTTTAATAGAGCCCAATTTACCACCAGCGCTACACCGCCTCTGGCTAGTGTATCGCCAAATATGTCCTCGGCATCATTGTATAAGAAGGTCCCAAGACCATTGTCACCAAACCAAAGCAAGCTATCAAAGAGATATAGTTATGGCGGAGAAAGATTGGCATTGTCTAAATCTCTTGATTCACAATTATTAGAACCAAGCAATTCTAACATTTCAATAAGTTCATTCTTACCAGCATTTAATAAAAGACCTTTGACTGATACGCCAATTGTTTCACATATAGGATCACCAATAACTAGAGATCAATCAAGCGATGATGATGATGTAGAAGAAGATGCGGTTCTAGGAAGAGGAGGAGGAGGAGAAGGAGGAGAAGAAGAAGAAGAAGAAGGAAGAGAAAAGGAAAAAGAAACTGAAAGAGAAAAACACCAAAGACAAAGTGATATTGTTGGAGAGACTTACGAGCAAGAGCAATTGCAACTGCGGCCTAAAAAGGACTCCAACAATCCTGATGAATCAACTAATATGACTAAGAAAATATCTCATTTGAACTTGGCAGAATTAGGACACGATACAACTTTATCTCTGATGTCCTTATCTGAAACCGATTCATTGAACAAAGCAAGGGATATGGCTGCCCACGCAGGTGCATCTCTTGTTGGTACTCAAGAGGAAATTATCAGAACAGGCATTAGACGTCCAACATTCAAACAGGTTTTACTGGAACCTTTTTCCCAAAAAGATGTTCAACCGCCCAAAGTAGTAATTGGAAATGACGACAACACTTCCGGTCTGATAAGTCCCATGAGTTATATTTCAGAGTCGCAGAAGAAGAAGGAGAAGGAGGAGAAGGAAAAGGAGGAGACGGAGAGAAAGGAGACGGAGAAGGAGAAGGAGAAGGACAAGGACAAGGACAAGGACAAGGACAAGGACAAGGACAAGGACAAGGAGAAGGACAAGGAGAAGGACAAGGAGAAGGACAAGGAGAAGGACAAGGAGGAGAAGGGGAAGATATACGATGAACGAGAAAGAAAGAACCAGGAAATAGAAGAAAGACAATTACAAATTGAGAAAGAGCAAATAAAACAGAACCATATATCAGCCGATCAATCACCTGTTTCTTCTTTCTCGCCACCTCCTCCGCCATCTGAAAATAGGGGATTGACAATGAAACAGGATATCAAAGACCATTTACTAAAAGATGTTCCACCGCACATGAAAGAGCAATTTGAAAAAACTCCATCAATTGAAAAATTGAAAACTTTACTAATGACTAAGCCGCCTCCTTCTGCAAGGAAGACATACACTTTGAATATACCTGGTCAAACATCGTCTAAGATCTCACCAGATGGTAAGATTGCATCAGTTGATATTGGCTCGAAATTGGTCATTGTGATGGTTGGTTTGCCAGCAAGAGGCAAATCTTATATCACAAACAAGTTAACTAGGTATCTCAATTGGTTACAACACGATTGTCGAGTGTTCAATGTTGGTAATACAAGAAGAAAAAGTAAACTCAATGCAGGGCCTGAGAAGAATCCATTACCAGATGCGGATACTCCAACAGATTCACAATCACCGAACCAATCGCAAGTTCAGCAAGGTACTGAGCATGACGCATCCTTTTTCAATCCCGAAAATAAAAATAGCACTGCGTTGAGAGAGAAATGGGCTATGGATACTTTGGAACAGTTGCTTGATTATGTGATTAATGGAAGCGGATCGGTTGGTATATTTGATGCTACAAACTCAACTAAACTTCGAAGGAAAAGGGTGTTAAAGAGGATTCGAGAGAGAAGCAATGGAGAATTAAAAGTGTTGTTTCTTGAAAGTATATGCAGTGATCCCAATATCATTGAGAGTAATATTCGCTTAAAATTGAGTGGTCCTGATTACAAAAATATGGATCCGGAAGTTGCACTCAAGGATTTTGTTGGCAGATTGCAAAACTATGAAAAAGCTTATGAAACAATAGATGAAGAAGAAGAGAAAATTCCTGGGTATCAATATGTCAAAATGATTGATGTTGGGAAAAAGATTGTTAGTTACAATATCCAGGGATTTCTTTCATCACAAGCAGTTTATTTCTTATTAAACTTCAATTTGTGCGAACGACAGATATGGATTACACGTCATGGAGAAAGTAAAGATAATTTAAGTGGCAGAATAGGCGGAGATGCACACTTGACAAAACGTGGAGTGAAATTTGCTAAAACTTTAGCTAGATTCATGAGTTTCCAGCGTCAAGAATTCAGAAAGCAACAATTGGAAAGATTTTCTTCTCGATTGGAATTGAAGTATAACTCCATATTCAATGAAGATGATATTGCTTCTTTAGATATGATACCTACTGAACCAAACTTTTGTGTTTGGACTTCTATGCTTATTCGGTCTATTGAAACTGCGCAATATTTTGATGACCATTTGTATTCGGTAAAGCAAATGAGAATGTTGAATGAGTTGGGTGGCGGTAAATATGAAGGTATGACATATGACGAAATTCAATCGAAACATCCTAGAGAATTTGAAGCCAGGTTGTTAAATAAGTTGACCTATAGGTATCCCGGAGTTGGAGGTGAATCATATTTAGATGTCTTGACCAGACTAAGGCCATTAATCACCGAAATCGAAAGAACAACTGACCATTTACTAATTATTTCTCATAGAGTCGTGTTGAGGATCCTATTGGCGTACTTTCTTAATCTTGATAAATCGGCTATTGGAGAATTGGATGTCCCGTTGCATACGCTATACTGTCTTGAATCAAAACCTTATGGAACCGATTACACAATGTATGAGTATGATGAGCATTCTGATTGGTTTATTAAAGCAGAGCCCGAGCATCAGACGAATGTGAAAGAAGTTGGTGTTGTTTTTAAACAACGGAAATATTCAGTTGTTCCTACTGCACCACCTAGGAGAAGTCAGCTCACGGGCCATTCTAGTATTGGAGAACATATTCAACAATTGAGGCATAATCATGATCGTGGAGTATCTTCATCATCATCTTCTTCTTCCTCATTAAACAATGATTGGGGTAATAATCATGAATTGACAAACAATGTAAAGAATGGATTTTCATCAAATTCTCCTATACTGCCACCACTGAGAAGACCTACTTTACTGGTTAGAGATGGTGATGATAAAGCAATCACTGCAAAAAATTTGCAAGAATTGAAGAAGTTTGAAAAGAACCATTACTTCTGCTAGATTAATTTTGTTTTAAGTCTCTTATATTGTATTATTCTAAAAGATAATTATCTAAGCATTTTGATAGAAATAAAGTATCTTTGATTTCAAATTGGACTTTCTTGATAGAAAAAAAAAAAAAAAAGGAAAAGGAGAAGCAAAAGAAGAAGAAATAAAATTAGCTCTCTAAGGAGAAAAGAGCCTAGTTAGATAGTGGGTGCGAGCATAAGCATCGGAAAGAGCTCTTTAAAGCTGTCTACAACTTGTGTTGATTTTTTGGTAGGTTTTGTGTGAGATGCAACGCTTAAAAGTTCGTTGTAAGTTGCACAAAAAAGAGCATGCATACAGCCATACAGCAATAGTTTTCATAATTAAACTTAGACGACCCCGTACAAGCATAGCAAAAAAAAAAAGCCACTAGTCAATCTGGGGATAACCTGGAGAAGCCAGGAGATAGCTAGAACGAAATCTTGAGAGAACTGGGGGGAGGTGGATCCCATTTTTGAACTTTGCTTGGATTTCCTGCAAAAAAAGTGGAGCAGCACTGACTACCGACATTATCGAGCGAAGCGAGATAGTGAGCAGCACTGACTACCGACATTATCGAGCGAAGCGAGATAGTGAGCAGCACTGACTACCGACACTATCTCGCTCTGCTCGATAGTGTTAATTACAATTCTATACAAGTTTACCAAAAAAGAATAATAGATTGATATAGAATTGAGATTCAATACTTTTGAAGGAGAGTTGAGTATCGGAAAATGAATATTTGGAGAAAAAAACTTTGATTTTGGATTTTCACCTTCTCTATGGTTAAAGAGTAGACACTTATTAGTGTTGGCAATGTCATCCAATTCAGCAATTTACAGATGATTTCAGATTAGTAATAACCACTCAAAAAAAGACACCAAGATAGTGTCGGTAGTCAGTACTGCTCCACTATCTCGCTTCGCTCGATAGTGTCGATTGTCACCTCGTTCCCCCTTTTTTAGTTAAGGGCGTTGTAGCACTTTTCTTCTTAGTTAAACACCATGTCACGTGACAATACGTTTCATGCAACCTTTAAAGTTAAACCTGACTTTTTTTTTCTTTTCATTCTTTTTATTCTTTCTTTTTTTTTCATTCTTTATCTTTATTTCAACGGTTTGCCGGATCCGCCCTGAAAGGCTTCAATGAATTCAACCCAATGGTGGATAAGAAAAAATTCCATTTGTCCGTAGCATGGTTCTAGCGTATGTCCGAGAGATGTTCTCGTCAATTCTTGTTTTTTTCCCCTTCTTCTGCTGACTTTTGTGAGGAGAAATGTAAGGGTAAAAAGACGAAAAAGAAAAGTATATAGACTTGTCTCATTCATATGTCCATATAGAAATAACTCTTATCCATATGTCCATTCCATTTGCAAAAATATCACGCAAACACAATTACACCTTAGAGCTCAAACTCTTAATCCTTATCCTTACTGAGAAATTACTAAAGCTTCAATTAAAGTCGTGCAAGTTATGATCGTATTATGTACGAAGAAGAAAAAAAAAAAAAAAAGTTATAGCTCTTGTAATTTAGCAAGATCATCATTCATCAATATCCGATTAATGGAATAGTGCTTCATTTTGCTTAGTAAACTTTTTCCTCATTCTTTTTTCCTTTACTTGTAGCAGTTTGAATTATATTTTTTTCAAGATTGCCATCATAGGGAACCATATTTTCAGGTTTTTTTTTTCTTTTTCTTTTCTTTTAATTTTGAAGGAGTAGGATTTATCAAAAGTGTAGAATCAGCTAACTCAATTGACTGAACATCAGCAACAAGAGTAAGGTGTTTTAAGGTCAATTGCAATAGTAAGTACCATCTGTGCAATTACCACCCCTATTTTAATACTGGTTTGCTCTTATCAGAGAAATATATTTTTCTACTTTTTTCCTAGAATTGCTTTCCCCTCTATCAAACTCATAAATTACTTGCTTCATACACACACACACAAATAATCGGATGACAGCTTTTGGAGAATACTACACAATTGTTATTTTGGGAGCCAGTGGTGACTTGGCTGCTAAGAAGACCTTTCCTGCCTTATTTGGATTGTTTAGAGAAAAGCAATTAAGCACCAAGTGTCAAATCATTGGATATGCTAGATCTGACTTGAGTCAAGAAGATTTTTACAACAAGATCTCTCAACATTTCAAGGGCGGCGATGAAGAAACCAAGAAGAATTTCTTGAAGCTTTGTTCATATGTTGAGGGTCAATACGATGCAGATGAAGGATTCCAAAAATTGAAAAAGAGATTCACCGAGTATGAAAAAGAACACAATGTCGAGAAGGCAGAGAGATTGCTTTATTTAGCGTTACCGCCATCAACATTCACTCTGGTTTGTGAACGCATTAAGAAGAATGTTTATCCCAAGGATGGAATAATCAGAGTCGTTATTGAGAAGCCATTTGGCCACGATTTAGACAGTGCTAGAGAGTTGCAGAAATCCATTGCACCATTATTCTCAGAAGACGAGATTTACAGAATTGACCACTATTTGGGAAAAGAGATGGTGAAAAATTTGTTAGTTTTGAGATTTGGTAACGAATTGTTTAGTGGTGTTTGGAACAAGAGCCATATTGCTTCTATCCAAGTCAGTTTCAAGGAACCATTTGGAACTGAAGGAAGAGGCGGATACTTTGATTCAATAGGTATTATTAGAGATGTGATGCAAAACCACTTGTTGCAAGTCTTGACATTGTTGACCATGGAGAGACCCGTGTCCTTTGACCCAGAAGCCATTAGAGACGAAAAAGTTAAAGTGTTGAAAGCTTTTGATGCATTCGATGTCAATGATTTAATTGTTGGTCAGTACGACAGGTCAGAGGATGGGAAAAAGCCAAGTTATTTGGATGACAAAACTGTTGCTAAAGACTCAAAGTGTATCACTTATTGTGCATTTTCAGTCAATATCCACAATGAGAGATGGGACGGCGTACCAATGGTTTTGAGAGCTGGAAAGGCTTTAGATGAAGGAAAAGTTGAAATTAGAATTCAGTTCAAGCCAGTTGCTAGGGGAATGTTCAAGGACATTCATAGAAATGAATTAGTTATCAGAATTCAACCCGATGAGGCCATTTACGTAAAGATTAACTCCAAAATCCCTGGTGTTTCTACTGAAACAACATTAACAGACTTGGACTTGACCTACTCGAAACGTTATTCCAAGGATTTCTGGATCCCCGAAGCTTATGAGTCATTGTTGAGAGATGTCTTACACGGTAATCATGCCAATTTTGTGAGAGACGATGAATTAGAGGTTTCATGGAAACTATTCACGCCATTGTTGGAAAAACTCGAAAATAACCCAAATTTGAAATTGGAAAAGTACCCATACGGTTCAAAAGGTCCAACAGAGTTAAGAGATTACTTACAGAACCATGGCTATGTGTTCACCAGGCCGGGAACCTATCAATGGCCATTAACTGAACCAGATGTAAAAGGTAAGATTTGATAATGGTGAAAGAGTATTATATTTGTATAGCTCTGAGAAATCCATATATACATATATATAAAAAGAATTCGAAATACAAATTTCGTCCTGAAGAAAAACTATAGGAAATTCATATGAAGAAGCAAAAAAAGATAAAAAAAGAGATTTAGAAAAGGTGCTAAAAACATAACCTGCGTTGTTTCCTGGCTTTATCCCTTACAAATTACCAACAAAGCCTGATAATTTCTTTTTGCATAGTTGTTGGGAAATCAATTTTCTTTTTATTTTATTTTTTTCTTCAAGATCCTCATTTGACGATTTAATCAGACATCCAAAGGAAGGTCAATTCGGCGGTCACAGACATACATGAAATTAGGTTCGTGTTGTATGCTACCGAGGAAACTGCGAATGTTATGGTACAATTTTCATCACCTTAAATCATTGTCAAAATCAATGGAAAGCAAAAAATAAAAAAAATAAAAAGAAAACCATTGCCAACAAAATGCAAAAAAAATTTTCAAAAAATAAACAGCATCAGACTTTGTTTTCACCTGTAAAGCATGATTATAAGATGGATCTTTGAAAAAAACACAATCCTACCTTGCAATCCTAAACCTAACAGCAACAAGTGTATACCAATAAGAAGATTGTGGGAAAAAGTATATTGTTTATCAGAAATGTAGATACTGGCAAGTATAAGCACACCAAACATTTTCACAATCCAAAAAAGGACTGGAATTTGAGAGGTGGCATGTTTTTGACGTTGTCTGTGAAATCATAGTCGAATCAGACTAGGAAAGAAGTGAACTAAAATTCATCATTTAAACAGTTATTTTTTCCCCTTCTCTTCTCTATTTTGGAAACAAGCAAAACCCGCTAAAAATCCGATAATTTCTTGTCTGTTGTGTAAGTTGGTTGAAAGTGAGTCAATATATGGACAAATCATTTCCATACAGTCAACTCACCCCAACCATGGTTTGGTTAAAGAAAACATGTATAAGAAAGAAAGAAAAGGAAAAGAAGTGTGATGAGGAAATGAAAAAAAAAAATTTTTTTTTGATGCTCCGAAATTTATAGCGAGAAGAAATTTGAGATGGAACTGAAAAATCGGTGGACATGACACAAAAAATAATTGCATTTTTGTATAGAAAGATCCAGAAGCTCTGGAAGCTCCTGCTGATGGTAGTACTGTTGGTAGTACTGCTGGTACTGGCTCCTCTATTTGTTTAGTCTAGCGTAGGGCCTATTGCCATAACTGCAAAATTGTGCCTATTTTCCTCATCAGTATTGTCAATATAAGACTGTATCTTTTCAACTAGTTTCGGTTCATGTATCAAATTCTCCTTACCCGAATCACCAACCTCTCCCAAATCAACAGGGCCATTTCTTCTTCCATCCAACTCATACAAGTGATTATCTCTACCTTTTATGAAACTAATGAAATGTAAATTGATGTCATCTGTCGCGTTAGGAGCCTCGGTTTGACCACGGGATCCATAGTTTTCATCTAATTGAATACCTCTCTCCAATTCCTCTATTAATAAGCTTGTTTCACCAATGGATTTGTTCTTGGTGTTCAATTTCGTTACTAAATCGCTAATTTTCAGATTGGAAATGTTCAAGTCAGGCGGTAAATTCGTGAGAATGTGCAACAACGCATACAACCCACACCCGTTTCTTATAGTCTGTTTAAACCAATGGATCTTAGAGTTATCATTCAAATAAGGTTCTGTTCGCTGGTCTGCCTCTATTCTATTTGCTTCATTAGCAGGAGTTATAGGGAATAGCAAAATGACTCCAAATATTGGGTGGGGTAGAAATGCAAGCAAGTCTGGGTCAGTTAGTGAGTACACGTCGTGGAATTGTAAGATTGGTGAAACGCCTAGTTTATGTGCTAAATCTGTAAAGATTTGAGGATTCGACTCTAATGGAATAACCAGCGTAGAATCAGGCATTATGGGAAAAATTAAGGGTCAAAAAAATGATCTATAACAAGGGCTAAAGGTGTTATTCCTGTAATTTGGTTTGAATTTTGCGACTATAGTTTGATGAGAAGCTAATCCAAACGTACCCTCACACACTCACACTCACACTCACAACGACGCTCACGCCTACGCCACAAGAAGTGAGATTGCTTGTGGCCCTCTCCTTATTTTCAATGTCGTTAATTTTCAATGTCGCATCAAAATCCAGGGGAGAATGAAAAAAAAAAACTTGTCAGTAAGTTAAAACGACATTCACAATTTCAGCAAATCATCAATGAGTTAAATAGGATTACTAATAATTAAAAAAACCCAAAGACAGACAGGCAGGCAGATAGACAGACAGACAGACAGACAGACAGACAGACACATACACTAGAATAGCGCTTATCCATCCTCCCTAGAACAAGTAGAATCACAACCTGTTAAACCCTACCCATCAAAGTGGATGGATCGACAGACTATTTTGTTGGCTCCTTTCCATAGATGAAAGTAGGACAATATTATGCGATTCTTATAACACTATTGCTTACATTTTTCGGAGTTGTTTGTTTAGAGTACCGTCTCGAACCATCACCAAACAATGGGATTGACGAGCCATCTAAATTCCAAAAATATCATGAAGCTTCAAGAGTATTGGGAAATTTCTTAACTGGATGTATTATTGCTGTTTTGATATTCATTTTGAAGTTTCTTCACCAGTTGATATATTCGAAAAAATCGCTTTCGCTGTCGATAGATACAACTACAACGCCACATCATTTGCACTCAACATATCATCTTAGCTTTTACCATGCGATTTTGGAAGAAGTGCTAAAATTCAGTATAATTTGGTATCAAGCGTCAAAATGCGCATACCAGTTTACTCGATATGATTTATGCATAGTTTGGCTTGGTTGCGCGCTACCGAGTATACAAGTATACTACTATAGTCCCTATAAATATCATGACAAGTATGCAAAGTTTTTGAGGTATTACAATATTTGGATCAATCAGGATTTGTATAGAAGCAGACATTTGGTTGAGAATGAGGGAGAAGTGGAGGAACTTTGGGAAAATATCATAGAGGAAGAGAATAGTGATAACGAGAACGAGAATGATGTTTCGCAAGAAGTTAGACATTCTTTATCTAGCAATGAGTCTAATGAAACTATTGTCGATAGGCTCTTAAATAAGAAAGTGAGCTACAAAGTATTACCATCGGAGTTTAAAAGTCGATTAGAAGAAACGAGATCATTTGAAACCTTGCCCATAGAGATTAATGGCAGAAGCAGAAGGTCTTCAGGGTTTTCTCATACTAGCAGACTAAATGCAAGGGATTACAAATCCTGTTCCGATCTTATTACTAGATTGTATTCGGTCTCGCCAGGGAACACCTATTATTTGAATACTGCTGTTGCCATTGCAGCGTTTGATGACTCTGAACAATCTGCTCCTGTTGTCAAACAAGATTTTACTAATAACCAGGATCCGACTAGGGAGAATCTTTTTCTACTGGAAATTGAAGAGTCATATGAGAATATTGACGAAGAACACATCGAGAGGGACGAAGGACCTATAGAAAGAGATGAGGAACACATAGAGAGAAAGAGACATGATACTATAAAAGCACTAATCAAGGGCATAAATTGGTTCTCTTGGCTTTTACCTCCGTTGCTACCGATTCGTAAGGCCTTCGACGCCAATCCTATTACCACTAACACCACCACCACCACCACCATTGCTTCTAATATATTACCTTCCCAAAGCATTGTCAACGAACGCTTCCCATTGCTCAAAGCAAGTTTATCAAGGTACAGCTTAAAGCAACCAACAACAACAACAACAATAACAACAAAATTACCGGATCTTGAGAGTAACCCCAACTCCAGCAACCCATTGTACATTTTCAAGACTACAATCGATCGATCTGGACTGTTCCAGTTTTTTCTATCTTATTATTTCGATACTTCTTTGGATCCGATTACGCTCAATTTTATAATAGATCATTGGTTTTTGAAGTATGGACAATTGATCGTTGATACTTTTTGGGTATGGTTTCTTATTGATGAGTTGAATTATATGATTTTTCAGTTTATCAATTTCCAGACTCTAGGTACTGTTGTACGTGGTTATTGTTCAATTTGGAAGAATGTTACTTTGGTGTTGACAATTATCTTGATACCAAAATTATTCAGATTAAACTTTTTGCATAATCCAGAAAACAAGTTTGATTATAGAGTTGCTATCTTGGGCGAAATGGTTCTTAACCTAGTGCTATTACTTAGTATTACAATATATATTCTATAATCCCAGTTTTTCTAATAAATAATAATCTATCTACTCTCTCTCTCTCTCTCTCTCTATATATATATATATATATATATATATATATATATAGAGAGAGAG